TAGTGATTGGCAAATGATAAATTTATAAATATTAAATACTCATCAATTAATCTTTTTAAAATGTTTAAGAGTGAGAGAGTAGAGATTAAAACGGCCTTTTTTTAGTCACACTTTAGAGTTAACATTGTAAAGCGAAAATAATCAGTAATACGTAGAGTTGTTAACATTTTTCTAAAAAGAATATTAATTTAATAAATATTTATTTCAAATTGCATAATATATTTGTTTATTAAGATTAATTTTTATATAAATTAACCATTTATCAATAAAATATTTTAGTAAGATTTTCTGAAATTTTATTTAATTCTTCTTAATTTATAATTATTTAGCAATATAAATTATATATATTCAATTTTTCACCATAACAAATATAGTAATAGTGTATAGTCTTATAAAATCGAGATATCTTATCTAATAAAATTCTGTATTTTTATATTAATATGCCAAGGTTCAAAATAGACCGGGGATAGTGTTATCACATTTAATTTTCCTTCATTTTTAACTATTGTAAAGAAAAAAACTATTTAGTTATTCCACACCTAACCCCCATAAAAATAGATCTTATGCACACCATAAACTTGAATATACAATATTTATTAAATATTATGATGACAATATATATATATAATCTTAAATAAAGTAAGTATATGTATTATAATTTTGATCTTAAAAATACCCCTTCCCCTCCTTCCTTGATTTAATATTTTAAAAAAAAAAAAATTATCTCTTTCAATGAAAAAATTAACAATTCTATTTCTATTCATTCTACTTAGTGTTGTTAATTTGCTTGGTCGTAAAATATACGACCCAAATTTGTGCTAATACTTGCTATGAGCACGAACCCCGAGCACAGACGGGTTTGTGCTCGGGGTTCAGACCCGGGGATTTTTTAATTATTATATAGTCCTGTTCCTGCAAAAGCTAGTTAGCTTCGGGATAAAAAAATTTATCTCGGGTCGTTTAATTATAATTCCATATATTTTATAATTCCCCATTATTGGTCTTAATAAATTAGTCAGAGACCTGCTGGTCCGGCTCACCCCGACCTGAGTACACTGGCCCCTATTTTAATTTTTTTAAATTAACCCAAGCCGGGCCTGAAAATTTATTTTAAAAATATTCCGAGGCCCGTATATTTTAAATCGCCATTAGTAGCTATATAAATCTAATATTTTTAAAAAAATCTGGGCCTGGTCTGAAAATATATTTTTTAAAATAGAGTCAGGCCTGAAAATTTATTTTAAAAAAGCTGAGACGGGACGGGCCTTTTCGAAAAAAAATTTGAGAAAAAATCCAGGCCGGGCCGTGCAAATGGCACCTCTGCAGGTCTATGAAATTAGTGCCGGAAGTTTTTAAAAGTAATGTTTCTGGCCAGCGGCCCAGAGGGCCTAATATCATATTATCTAGCTGTCATAAGTTTTTAAAACGTTTTTAATAAGCTTTGGCTTACAATTATTAAATTTAGAATATTTAAAACAAAAAAATATTGCCTTTTTTCCTAATAATAAATTTCAATATTGTAAACAAAACGATTGCCTAAATAATTTAAATATTGTTTATTTTCATTAAATAAAATCGCAAAAAAAAATTTTTTTGATAAAGTAAAAAAATGAAGGATAAATAAAAAATTTAAAGAATAAAATTTTTTGCTAAGTATTATTTTAAATTTTCCAACCCTCCTCCCCCCACCCCACCCTAATTTCTCTTGTTTTCTTGTTCTTTAATATTATTATTTTTTTAAATTTACCAACCCCCCTAATTTCGATCTTCATAATTATACTTCTCTTTTTTTTAAATTTTGAACTTTTTTCCCCCCATTTTTCTTGTTATAATTTTATCTAACTTTTTATGAGCCATATTAAGCGAAAATAATGGGGGGGGGGGGGGGATTTGTTTATAAAAGAAAATATTTCTTTACATAATTACTAAAAATAAATACTTCCGATTTTTTATAAAATTATTATATGAATATTTCTAAATATAATATTTATGTAATGTGTTATTTGAATAAATATAAATATAATTATTTAAATGAAATTCGTTAAATCGATCACGATTTGGCCAACCCCTTTTCAACAGGGTTTCGAACCATTAAGTATAGAGGTTCGGTTCGTTACGGTTTTTAGTTTAAAATTTTATAAAGGTTTTGTTCCATTTCGGTTTTTTTGAAAAAATTTAAATCGGTTCGGTTTATAATTAATTTATAACGGTTCTTTTCGGTTTGTTCCGGTTCTTATAAATTTGATTTAAAAAAAATTTAATAATAAACCATATATATTAATATTAGAGAAAAATCTTTTTATAATTTCTTATTTAATTTAACCATAATAATCTAATAGATATTTTTATTAAACTTAGTAAATATAAATTATACAAATCAATTTTTTTTATTTTATATATAAAACACAAACAAGCGCAAATACAATGAGGAATAAAATAACACATAAATATAATGAAATTTATATTATTTATTTTTAAAAAGAGAATTAGAACGGATAACTAAAATATTTTCTAATATTTCAGGATTTAATTTAGTTCTCTGCGCAGAGAGTATAAACTTAAGGCAAGAAAATGCTCTTTCTACGGATACCTGCGTAGCTGGAACTGTTAGCACAGTTATAGCTAACTTATAAAGTTCTGGCATACTATTCTTTACATTTTCCCAATAATTCAAAAGATTTGTATCTTTTTCTAATCTCTCTATATTATCAAATGACCGAATTATATATTCTCTTTCTATACATTTATTATAATTTTCTATGCTCTGCTGAGAACCGAAGCTAACTAGCTTTTGCAGAAGCAGGACTATATAATAATCAAAAAATCCTAAGGTCTGAACCCCGAGCACAGACCCCGGGTCTGTGCTCGGGGTTCGTGATCAGAGCTGGTTTAGTCGATATTTTAGACCCAAACCCCGGGTCTGAGCACTACACAACCAACCAATTAACAACACTAATTCTACTTTTGAATTCTTTTGCAGAAAAAAATTTAAGTTTATTTTATTTAATATTAATAACTTCCGTTTTTTTACTTATTTTTTGTTTTTTCAGTAATAGCATAACTACCAATTCTATTCCCTCCCTTTTTATATAATAGCTCAGCAATTTTACTATATATTTTTATTTTTAAGTGAAGCATGATTATTTGAATTTTCAAATTAATCATTAATCTATGTCTTCTGGTGGTTTAAATCATGACAGGTTGGGGGTAAACATTTTTCCAAAAAAATATCTAGACAAAGGTATCAAATCCTCTCCATCTTTCCTGATGTCGAAATCTTCAATCGATTTCTGTTTTCGTAAGAATATCCCAAATCGACATTTCTTTAAACTATAACTAGGAATTATTAGTCCCTTAATGGGCATGGTGGGCATAGTTTATTCCACTAACTTTAGGTGGGAATTGATTGTTTCTTATAAAAATTACTGCCTTAATTAACTATTAAACATGACGTTTATACTTTTGAAATTCATTTTATCACTTAAAATATTTATTCCCTCAAAACTATCAAAAGTCATAACAATTTCATTGAAATTATTTTATTCATTCTATGACAAATATAAAATTATTCACAAATATTAATAAAATGAATATCAAAAAAGATAACGTGTTTAACAAATTTATATTAAGTTTGATGATTAAAATATCGTTTAAAGTATATTTGTCAAATTTATTCGTAATGTGGTTACTTCTTAGTGCACTGAAGGATCTTTCTATCGATATATGTGAGCAAAGATCAGCTAGAACTACTCGCTAGAGGGATATTTTAAATAAATGTAAAAATATTTTGATGGGAAGGCAATTTTAGGCTATACAATACATTAATTTGTAATATCCATTATCGAATTAGAGTTAAACAACAAATAAATGCATTTCAGCTTAAAATTAAAGTAGAGTCAACTCCTGAGGTGACTAATGTCAACTCCTGAGGCGACTTATGTCAACTCCTGAGCCAGCATATCTAATCTGTTAGAGGCTTAGCCATTTTTTACAACTTTAGGGTAAGAATTAAATCAACATAAATTATCCTCATTTTTCGATGATATATGAATTATAAATATCTAAAAATCGGTAAATTCCTATAATAAATTTTTCACGGTCTTAGAAGGTAATTATTTTAAATTCCATATCAATTATTTAATTAATATGAAATTGAATTACTCGTCCTCTAATTTTTAATTTTCAGAATATAAATATACAATTTTTTTAAAAAGACTATTAATAAAATATTCGTCCTCTATGCATAAAATTGAGCAAAACACTAACAATAAATTATTATAAGTTGATTTGGTTTGGTGCTCGGATCTGTGCTCTGGTCGATGCTTGGGTCGGTGCTCGGGTCTGTGCTCGGGTCTGTGCTCGGGTCGATGCTCGGGTCTGTGCTCGGGTCTGTGCTTGGGTCGATGCTCGGGTCTGTGCTCGGGTCGATGCTTGGTTCTGTGCTCGGGTAGGTGCTCGGGTCGGTGCTCGGGTCTGTGCTCGGGTCGGTGCTCGGGTCTGTGCTAGGGTCGATAATCGGGTCGATGCTCTGGTCTGTGCTCGGGTCTGTGCTTGGGTCGATGCTTGGGTCGATGCTCGGGTCTGTGCTCGGGTCTGTGCTCGGGTCGATGCTCGGGTCGGTGCTCGGGTCTGTGCTCGGATCGATGCTCGGGTCTATGCTCGGGTCGGTGCTCTGTTCGGTGCTCGGGTCTGTGCTCGGGTCTGTGCTCAGGTCGATGCTCGGGTCTGTGCTCGGGTCTGTGCTTGGGTCGATGCTCGGGTCTGTGCTTGGGTCGATGCTCGGGTCTGTGCTCGGGTCGGTGCTCGAGTCTGTGCACGGGTCGGTGCTCGGATCGATGCTCGGGTCGGTGCTCGGATCAATGCTCGGGTCGGTGCTCGGGTCGATGCTCGGGTCTGTGCTCGGGTCGATGCTCGGGTCTGTGCTCGGATCGATGCTCGGGTCGATGCTCGGGTCTGTGCTTGGATCGGTGCTCGGGTCGATGCTCGGGTCGATGATCGGGTCAGTGCTTGGGTCGGTGCTCGGGTCGATGCTTGGGTCTGTGCTCGGGTCGGTGCTCGGGTCGATGCTCGGGTCTATGCTCGGGTCGGTGCTCTGTTCGGTGCTCGGGTCTGTGCTCAGGTCGATGCTCGGGTCTGTGCTTGGGTCGATGCTCGGGTCTGTGCTTGGGTCGATGCTCGGGTCGGTGCTCGAGTCTGTGCACGGGTCGGTGCTCGGATCGATGCTCTGGTCGGTGCTCGGGTCGATGCTCGGGTCTGTGCTTGGATCGGTGCTCGGGTCTGTGCTCGGGTCGGTGCTCGGGTCGATGATCGGGTCTGTGCTTGGGTCGGTGCTCTGTTCTTTGCTCGGGTCTGTGCTCAGGTCGATGCTCGGTTCTGTGCTTGGGTCGATGCTCGGGTCTGTGCTTGGGTCGATGCTCGGGTCTGTGCTCGGGTCGGTGCTCGGGTCTGTGCTCGGGTCGGTGCTCGAGTCTGTGCACGGGTCGGTGCTCGGGTCGATGCTTGGGTCGGTGCTCGGGTCTATAGATTTGGTCGACCAGGTCGACCAATTTAGGTTGCTTTGGTTTTGGTTCATTTTTTCAACCAAAAACCAGAGTCGTGGTCGTGTAAAACCAGCATAATTGTAATTATTAATTTGGATTATTATAAATATAATAATAATAAAATATTTTTAATAAACTTGATAAGTAAAGAGTTAATTCTGTCACTATTTTTTAAAAAATGCCACTAATTATGTTTTTGCGGAAATGAATTAATAATAGTGATTTTTTTACAAAATGATATCTCCAATAAATTTAAAGCATTAACAACACTGATTAAATTTTAAAAATTATACAGTTCCTGTATTATTATTTTTGTAACAAATTCATTTTGTAACAAAAACGTGAAAAAATTTCACCTTGCAAGATATGAACCCTAAACCTCGTGTTGTTAGCCAGACATTAACAGCACTGGATAAGGTGAGCTTTTAAAATGAAATGTATTTAATTTGTATATATTATAAGTTAATCAAATGAGATTGGTTGCTAATCTACTTATTATACCATAATTATATAAGGATAGGTAATCTATATGTTGTAATTTTTAAAGGGATTAGAACTATCCGGGATCATCACGAGTTTTAAAGGGATAACTAAAAATTAGGGTTTTAAGTTAAGGAGTGATAATACGGTATTATCACGTTTTAATCGTGATTTAAGAGGAATCTTGTTTTTAAAAGCGTTTTACGCGCGTTTCGTTTCGTTTTAATTTTATTGTTATTTATTAATTTTCAATGTTTTTTATTTTGGCCTTATGAAATAAGATATGTCTAATATAGGGTATCAATCGATCGCTAATCAAAAGATCTATTCAATTGGAGGAATCTCTCCCCATTATAAAGGAGTCTAGGTCTGGGGGTCAGGAATATTTTTATCAAAATAAAATATCGATATGGGTATCAAATAATAGTTAATTTTAATCTTCTGACTAAAAGTCTTCATTCTTGGTCTTGATGGGTGTGACTTGGTCTGGGGGGTGGATGGAAGGGGGGGGGGTGTAAAAATAATTTTTTATGATATGGGTATCAAATAAAAGGTAATTGAAATATTTTTTTATTGTAATAATAATCACTCATCAAGGGCGGATATAGGTCTTGGGGGGAGGGGGGGTCAGGAATATTTTTATCAACACAAAATATCGATATGGGTATCAAATAAAAGCTAGTTTAAATATCTCTGATTGTAAAAATTATACTATAAGTAGGCGGGAGATCTTAGGTGGTCAAGTATATATAAACACAAAATATTGATATAATCAAATAAAAGGTATTTTAAATACCTTTTGACTGAAAGTATTTATTATCTTAATAGGTTGGACTTGATCTGAAAATGGGGGTGGGGGGGGGAGGTAAAAATAAAAATTTATATGGATATCAAATAAATAGTAATTACAAAATCTTTTGATTATATTAATTTTATCAGGCTAAGCGGGCATCTTAAGATGTAATGAATATTATTATTAAAGCAAAATATAAACATGGGTATTAAATAAAAGTTAAATCCAAATAATTAGACTTCAATATTAAATATAATTATAAGCAGGGGTTAAATATAGTCTTTGCTTTTTAAAAACTCATTGTAGCCTAATGATAAAATTATTTGCTAGCAATTTAATCTAATTTGTAATATTTTTAATCACAAAATTTATGGAGGCTATATTTGAAACCATCGATTCACAAATTTTATAACATTTAAAATTTTTCTTATTGCAGTTATAAATTATTACGCTTCTTTATTAGCAAATCATTTCTATTATTATATTTTTTTTCAAGCGATATAATCAACGAATCCCGGAAAAAACCCCCAGGAAAAGAAACTCCTGCAATAAAAACCCCCAGGAAAAAAAACCCCCAGGAAAAAAAAACCCGAATTTTTTTTTCGAATTTACTTAAGATCTAATAATATCGGTATATTTTTATTTAGATTTATATAAGGTATAGACAAATTAGTATTTTAGAAAAAACCATAAAAATATAATTTAATAATAAATTATATACATAATAATGATTTATCAATAAAATAAACAGATCTTATTGCAAATTTTGTCAAATTTAGTCTACTTAATAGTGTTGTTAAACGGCTCGTTTTGAGCCATTTTTAAAAAACGACAAACTCAATATTTCTTCCAGAATGATATTGCGCAAAGCCTAAAGATTTTGTTTGTAGAAGGAACAAAGGTTTGAACATCTATTCGCGGAATCTCGAGGCTTAGGCAATATTTTTCTGGCTAAAATATAGAGTTAGCCGTTTTAAAAAATCGGCTCAAAATAAGCCGTTTAACAACACTACTACTTAATATAGTAATTAAGGATGGATATTGTATTTATTACTATAGCAAAAATTTTTACGGAAATAAGTAATACATGGGTTATTTTACAGGGATATTTTTTTCCCTGTACCAATTTGAATATCAGCATTTTTTCTTGTTTTGCGATTTTGTTTTCAGTGTCCAACTACCTACACGCCATCGTTCAAGTTTGGTTTCATCGGCAGCCACCTCGCATTTCATTTTTTTTAATCAATACCCAGATTGATGGGTGTTTATTCCCAACCAGATTAGAAAAACGATGATTCGAACCTTCGCATTGATTATTTATGAGTTATTAGTTGGATAGAGTGCTCTGATTCAAGTTTCTGGAGGAAATCAAAGCCCAATTTGACCTGTCTTTTTTGAGAATTGCTTCTTCCCTTGATACTCCATTGATGTAATTTTTATCGAAATATTCAAGAATATCCTTACCATTGCTCGGAGTAACCGATCTAAGGAATGCTATTGCATTGCCCATATCACATAAAGGAACAAATGCTAAGCTGTCCATCATGCCACAAAAGAAGCTTAGGGCTTCATCAATTCTGTATTGGCTTTCCAGAACTAGCTTTTAAATTTTTCTATGGGTACTTTGACACAAATGGTAAAAGCATCCTCTGATTATGATGTGATCTCCTAATTGAAAAAATAAATATAAATAATTTATCATATTAATAATCATACCAATGACAGTTTTAACCTAGCTCATAGCAGACTTTTCGAAATCCATGTTGTATATATATAATGGATCAGGATATAAATCCCGTTCTTGACATTTAAACATTATTACTTCGAATATTTTTTCGTAAATATTTTGTGTTATTTTTGGAGTATAATAGCTGTTAATGATTGTGGCATTCGCTTATAAAATTATTTATCAATATTAATTATTGCTAGGTTATACTAAAAAAATTAAGTAAAAATTGAGAAGAAAAAAATTGAGATTAGAAAAATAAAGATTAACAATGACTTAAAGCAAAAAGAAAATAATAAATTGAGGCAAAAATTTAAGAAAAATTGACAAGAAAAATTTTTTAAAATAACGATTTTCTTTTTTTTTAAATTTTTTTTTCCGTGGGGTTTTTTTCCAGTGGTTTTTTTTCGGGGTTTTTTTTCCTATTACCATAATCAACACATATTTTATTGATTTTGATAATTAAAATTTAAAATATAATTTTAAACAATTATTTATCATTTACACATATAATATTTAAGTGACATTTTGTGGAACAATTAATGCCATTTTTAAAACATTGGCATCTCTTATTGTTGCAACTTTTTTGGCAATTGCAAATTGATTTACAATTACCATAAGAAGATGAACTTCTTGATGCGTTTATTATGGAGATGGTCCTATTAGGAATAGTAAAATTGGAAAATTTTATTGATTTATGAACGTTCGTTTTTAAAAATGGGGAATCAATTTTTCCCAAATTAGTTCCATCCATAATTTCTCGCCCTCCATTTGGATAATTTCGGCTTCAATATTTTTGGGGCATAGATTTGATCTATCATTTTTATTTATTGGGATCAGTACGTGATCCCCAATAGAAAATTTTATTTTTTTAATTTTATTTTTGTAAACATTATCTTGCTTATCTCTATCTATTAAATATGCAATTAACGATGTCAGTCTAGCTAAAATATTTTCTATGCTATTGCCTATCGAGTTTGTAGTATTTTCATCTTTCCATAATATTGTCAATTTTATATTTTGTTCTCTCCGAAAGAATATATTCAATGTAAAATGATTCGGATCCGCCCTCTATGAGTGATTATTTTTATTACAATAAAAAAATATTTTAATTACCTTTTATTTGATACCCATATCAAAAGAAATTATTTTTTACACCCCCCCTCCATTTACCCCCCGACCAAGTTATACCCATCAAGACAAAAAATGAATACTTTCAATCTAAAGATATTTAAATTAGCTATTATTTAATACCCATATCGATATTTTGTGTTGATAAAAATATTCCTGACCCTCCAAGACCTAGACCCGCCCTCTATGAGTGATTATTATTATTACAATAAAAAAATATTTTAATTACCTTTTATTTAATACCCATATCGAAAAAAATTATTTTTTCACCCCCCCCCCCCACCTCTATCCACCCCCCAGATCAAGACTCCATTAAGAACAAGAATGAATAATTTCATATCTAAAGATATTTAAATTAGCTTTTATTTGATACCCATATTGATATTTTATGTTGATAAAAATATTCCCGACCCCCCAAGACCTAGACCCGCCATCTATGAGTGAGTATTATAATTACAATAAAAAAATATTTTAATTACCTTTTATTTGATACATATCAAAAAAAAAAAATTTACACCCCCCCCCCCCCCAGACCAAGTCATACCCATCAAGACCAAGAATAAAGACTTTCAGTCAAAAGATATTAAAATTAACTATTATTTGATACCCATATCGATATTTTATTTTGATAAAAATATTCCTGACCCCCCAGACCTAGATTCGCCCATTTAGGTGGAGAGATTGACCATCAGTTGAATAGATCTTTTAGCTATCGATTGATACCCTATATTAGACATATCTTATTTCATAAAGCCTAAAAAATGCCATTGAAAAAATAAATAAATAACAATTAATTTAAAAAAAATAAAGCCAAACACGCGTAAAACGCGTTTTAAATTAATTCTTCTATATCATGGTTCAAATTTGATAATACCTTATAGTTCTTTATCCTTTAAAAAATTGAATTCTTAAAGGGATCACTACAGACGTGGATCTATAAAAATCA